AGGGACCCAGGTTCGATTCTGGTCAAGGGCATGTTCCTTGGTTGCAGGCACATCCCCAGTAGGGAGTGTGCAGGAGGCAGCTGATTGATGTTTCTCTCTCATCGATGTTTCTAACTCTTATCCCTCTCCCTTCCTCTCTGTAAAAAATCAATAAAGATTATTTTTTAAAAAAAAGCTTGTAGCTGTATTTGAGGGGCAGCGGGGGTGGAGTAAGATGGAAAGTCCTGTGCTCAACTGATACTAAGGAGATGGATGAGAATAAATTTTATGTTAGTCTTCTGCAATAAAGCTTCTCACAAGAAGCTTATCTCTCCCTGGTCAAGGAGAAATCGCAGGGCATTCCAACAAGACTCTGGTCAGACTTCTCTGTCTGGCCTCTGTTAAGACATGTATAGTTATGTGGTGGCTGTCTCTCAGTAACTCTACCCCTTGACTTTCCATATATCCAAGTAACAATTATTTCCTGGAGTTCAAGTTACCCATTAGATTATCTAATTAATTGTACTGATTAATTATAGGGGCTTGGATCAAGTCTTTTCTGTTTGTCTTAAGCCACGTCAAATGAGAGTGACTATGACTGTGACTCCTGGCAAGATGATCAGGCCAACTTGAAGGATAAAAGGCTCCCCATCCAGAACCAAGCCAGCTAAGTATGTCTCAGGTGCTGCTGCGGTTGACCTTAGAGCAGTGATGGTGAACCTTTTGAGATGGGCGTTTCAGCATTTTGAAAAACCCTAACTTAACTCTGGTGCCATGTCACATGTAGAAATTTTTTGATATTTGCAACCATAGTAAAAGACTTATATTTTTGATATTTATTTTATATATTTAAATGCCATTGAACAGAAAAATCAACCAAAAAAATGAGTTCGCTATCACTGCCTTAGAGAGCCACGCTACTTTCTTTCTAAGGTAGGAAATAGATTGCTGTCTTCCCTGATTCATTAATATGAGTGCAGCAACAGGTTTTGGCATTTAAATATATTCTACCCTGACTGGCCAGCAGGAAGCCTGGCACAATGTGACTATGATTACTTGCATCAGAGAGTTTAGACCAGTGGTTCTCAACCTTGGCTGCACATTAGAATCACCTGGGAATCTTTTTAAAATCCTGATTTCTGGGCCTCATCCTCCGGAAATTCTGTTTCTTTGTTAGGGGGTGGGGCTACAACATTAATAACAAAGAAACAGAATTTCCAGAGGATGAGGCCCAGAAAATCAGGATTTTAAAAAGAATCCCAGGTGATTCTAATGTGCAGCCAAGGTTGAGAACCACTGATTTAGACTGTTTCGTTTGTCAGTCAAGTATAGGCCTGATGTCCACATAACAAATAGTACTCTATTAGGGGCATAAACTGTATTCGGAGTATTAAGTATCATTTATTACAAGGAGTAAGTCAATTTTGTGTCCCTGGTGATGGACAAACTCCTTGATCAGAACTAAATAATTTCTGCATAGCAGGCTGGAGTGCTTTGGAAGAAACAATCTGCCTATCAGAGCCAGTTAGCCTTGCCAGTATAGTACAATGGCCCCAGGTGAACTGTATTCTGCTAATAGATTTGTAGTGACTTCAGCAACAGCATTTTGCTGACATGGGGGTCAATGTTTGATTCTTCAGTGTTCAAAGGAACAGCTGTTAAGTTTTTGTTAGTAGGGTCAGAAGGGAGTGATAGATGCAGCAATCAATTAAATTCAGAGAGTAGCCATGATCTAAGAAAAGTTTGTTTTTTTCTTAGAAGGTAGAGAGAGACCATGGGGACTGACAATAATATTAGGCTAGTGGGACATATTAATGTCCAGAAAATTAAACTTGTTGTCATCTTGGGTGAAGGTCATCCACTTGTAAGGTCAACAGTCTTTAGTTTAAGATCTAAGGAGTAAGGACCCAAGTCCTAAAGACCTAGGATGTAGTTAATAATGGGGATTTATAGCTACTAAAGCATCCTGAGATGCCATGCCAGGCCAAGTGTCCTAAAGGTAAGAGCAAAAAGGAGAAAATAATTGTTCCCCCAACTCCTGACTTCACTGGGTTTAGGGTGCTCCTTTTCTATGATCTGGATTGTTGCTTCCCTAGCATAGCCACATGATTGGTATGAGCAATGTGTGGCAATTACTTCACTCTTCTTACCCATTTTCATCATTTCTAACCCACACCATTTGCTTGTATTCCTCTCTCAGTGGCCATTTCCTTATATAGTGTGTACCATCTTGAACTTATCCCATTCCTGAGGTGTGGGCTTTGCCAGGACCACTTAACAGCTGTCACATCATATTCATGATTACTATCTTCTGCCCTCTAGTTCAAATATATCTTACCAAGGCATCTAAAATCCTTGCTATTTCCTGCTCATCAGATTCAATCAGCACAATGTTGTCATTATGAACAACCAAAATGAACTGATGTGGTATTTTGTGGAATATCAGGACAATCAACATCTTTGTAGATGATATTAAGGAGAACTAATTATACCACTGAGGAAATACTGTGAAGGCACACTGTTGACCCCATTAGGTAAAATCCAACAGGTTCTTGTGGTTTTTATAAATAAGTATGAAGAAGATAGCATTAGCCAAGTCAACAGTAATATAACAATTGCCAGGTACTGTGTTCCAGTAAAAATACTGCATTTGAAACAGCAGCTGCAATTGGAATTACCTCCTGATTAAGTTTATAATAGTCCACAGTCACCTCCAAGATCTATATGTATTTTGCACTGGCCAAGCTGGTAAGTCTTTTATGGAGGCATTGATTGCTTCTGGTTTACTGTCTTGCAAGGAAGTGAAAGTTCCAGGAGCTTCCACTTAGCTCTTTCTATTGTAATGGACCTCAACCCATGGGTAAGAAAGCTAATGTTGGTGTATTGTCAGTTCTAGAACTGAGAAAATAACCACACCGTGGCTATGTGAATCAACTGAACTAACAGAACCTACTGTGAGCTGAACACGAGCGAAGAATTCATTTACATCCCCAGGAATTAGCATCAATTCAGAGCCAGTGCCTAGTAAACCTTAAAAATCTGTGTATTTCCTTGTCTGCAATGTACTGTCACTACTCTAGATCCTGTCATTCCCATTGAAATTAAGGAGCCCATCTCAGTAATTGCATCCTCTATAGTCATACATGGCCTACAGAGGGGAACATCACAGAAATTTTCAAAGGTGTGTATCTTTCCCTCCCTAATTTCTCATTCTTCAGTGAAGGGAATGTCTTATAGACCTTTGCATGGAACAGATGGGCAATGGGGATGCAGTTTGAATAGGATAAGTCCAGTATAACATTTCCCAAAGCCTTTGGATTCCCTGTTCCACATTATATCAGGAAGCTCTGATATCTCAACCTCACAAACTCCAGGTCATCATTGAGTCCAAGTTGCCTTCAATCAACCAAGCAAGCTAGTGGCTACAGGTAAAGCGTAATAAAAATGAAAAGCTTATAAATATTAACTATAACAGGGGGTTAGAGTAATGAGGCATTCACTAGTGAAAAAGAGAACCATAGAAAATATAGAAATAACAGTTACAAGGAGCTAACCTTAAAGTAATCTTTGAGCTGAGAGAGTTCCCCAAAAGAGAACTCCCCCAGGCCTCTCTCCCTCCCTCCCCAGGCTAAGAGCCAGCCTTCCTTGGAAAGAGAACAGCCTGGTTCACTGAATGGCAGAGAACTCACTAAGGCAGCAGTTCTCAACCTGTGGGTCGCGATGCCTTTGGGGGTCGAACGACCCTTTCACAGGGGTCGCCTAAGACCATCGGAAAACACATATATAATTACATATTGTTTTTGTGATTAATCACTATGCTTTAATTATGTTCAATTTGTAACAATGAAAATGCATCCTGCATATCAGATATTTACAGTACGATTCATAACAGTAGCAGAATTACAGTGATGAAGTAGCAACGAAAATAATTTTATGGTTGGGGGTCACCACAACATGAGGAACTGTATTAAAGGGTCGCGGCATTAGGAAGGTTGAGAACCACTGCACTAAGGTGTCACACCCGTAAACTTGTTGAAAAGCTGCCCTCTGGAGCTTGCTTCAAAGCCTGTCTCTAGCATGCCTGGAAAGCTCCTCATGGGGTAGTGTTGTAACAGTGGGAAATTATAAACCCCCATTCTTTTGACATTGCTTCTCTAAGTGCGGATTCTGACTAATACGTAGCTTATAGATAAACAGAATGTTTGAATCGGAATCTTAGGACCTAACTTCAGAAGGAACAGACTCTGACCTTCAGTCGTCCCAGCTCTAGGATAATCTGACCTTCAGTGGCAACTCCAGAATTACAGAAACCAGGAGGCGGCCCGCCAGACCGTCACTGGGCCAGTTTCAAGGCCCTGATCAGAATGGGCTGTGCTGGTCTGCTCACGGAGAGCTTTTCACCCCCCTTCCCTCCATCTCTGTTCTGTTTTCCCTTTCCCTCCTTATAAAAACCTCTGCCTGCACTGAGATGTTAGGCTGGCCTTTGAGATATGACCTTGACATCTCCTCAGGCAGCTGACACCTGAGCAAATTGCCTTACTTTTTCACGGGCGCCGGCTTTTGTGGCAACAGGTGGTTATGGAGTCTCACTTTGGTAAAGTGGTTCTCAACCTTCCTAATGCCGCGACCCTTTAATACAGTTCCGCATGTTGTGGTGACCCCCAATTTCATTGTTACAAATTGAACATAATCAAAGCATAGTGATTAATCACAAAACAATATGTAATTATATATTTGTTTTCCGATGGTCTTAGGCGACCCCTGTGAAAGGGTCGTTCGCCCCCCAAAGGGGTCGCGACCCACAGGTTGAGAACCGCTGCTAGACACTACAAAAGCACTCGAGCCGGGGACGCGGGAGGAAAGGGCTGTCTCGGCATAAGAGCAAGTCAGGTAGGCTGCAAGAGTTTGCCTACCAGTACACCAAACCCGGGTAGCACCCCCAGCCCCACTTCTTTCCTGTAATGTCTCCTCAGCACCCTCTACTGACACAGGTCAGCCCTTGCTGGCAAAGGGAAACTTACTTTCAAAGGCCCAGATGCATTTACACAGCACAGTCAAAAAAGGGTGAATTTGAAGGCAATACATTAACACCTGGCCTACGCGTCACTTCGCAGGCTTCCCGCACAGACCCTGTAGTCGCATGTCTACATCGGCCTGGCGCGTGCCCTGGCAGCCTGCTGCCCCTCGGGGTTCGCCAGGAAGGCACCAAAAGCAACGCAAGAAGAGATGAGTCTGCACAGAATTTGGAACTCATTTCTCCCCTTCTTTTCCTACAGCTCCAGAGCTCCTGTCCAAGGCTCGCCAGGGCCGGGTCTTCAAGGACGGGAAACCTGAACAGCGACAGGGCGCTGGGGAGACGGTTCAGCCCCCGTGGGACGTGGGCAGCGGGCGCGCCTGGAAGCCAGCCTCCGAGGGCCTCAACTCCAGCGGCGCTGCCTCGCAATGACGAGAGCTGCCCGAGGTCTCCCCACAGCCCCGGCGCAGGGCGGCAGGCGCGGGGCGGGCCCGGCGGGAGGCGGGCGGTGATT